TGTGAAGCAATTTAATTAGCAAATAAATTAACGTGTGTGCTGGTAGGTAGTGTGGTGACCAGCATTACTGCCAAGTGCTTTATTGCTAGTAGTTCCTGTCATCAGGAAATGGGTATGAAAGGTAACAGCAAAAATAACCAAAGATGGACCCAGGTGCGGAGGAGCTGGGAGGGAAGACCTGCAAGGCACAAGTGCAGGGTTTGGAAGAGCATCACACCTGCTTCTGCTGGATGCCCAGCATCTTGGGAGGCAGGTGACCAGGAGCCCAAGCCACTGCCTATACGCAGTGACCCAAGAGGGCCGGCAATGCCGAACTCATGGAGACCTCGGTGACACTGCCGTGTCCGTGCTGGGACTCTGAAGAGAGAGGAGAAAGGACCATGTCCGAGAAGCCCCCACTCCCGCCACACAGGGTTCCCAACCCTCTCCCTCCTCCTCCCAAATCTCAGTTGCACTTTTCTCATTGGTGAAGCATCGCCTGCTCACCCCTCGTGCCAAAGTGGGGTGGGAAGTCATTTCTTTCCTCCCCGTCACACTGTCCTTCCTGTCCTGCTCATGCTCACCGTTACTAGGTGACATCAAGCACAAAGACTTCGTGGCCTGCAGGAGGTGCTGGTCTGGGTCACGGGCCTGCGGGGCCACTAGGCGGCGTGTGTTGGGGAGGCAAACGCCAGGGGCAGCTTGCTCCAGCCTTCTGTTGCCCGCTGTGGGCAGAGGGCTGGCCCTGACATGTTCTGGCCAAGGCCAGTGTGAAAAACAGCAAGCCAAGGCCTGCAGACCTTCCAAGCCCGACTCTGCACATCTTCCCCACATCGACACAAGCGTGCGGGCCCAGCTCGAAGTCAAGTGGCCGGGAAGCACCTTTGTCCGCACAGACGGAGCAGCAGAAGCATCTTTAGGGCAGTGGGCTCATTTTCACAACTCAGAGGCACAGTCTCTTCAGAGGAGGCGCACAGAGCCATGGCTTCCATTTCAGCAAGCAGTGGCCTCTGCACTGGAGATCCAGGCAGTTCCCAGACACGCTCTCCTACACACGTTCTCCCGTCCGGCTCACTTCTCTTGTGCGCTCGCCGTGGGTCCAGTCGTCTCTTCCACACTCGCAGGGCTGCTGGAGGAACGAGGGTGCTGGCTCGCTCCTGAGCACGGAGGCTCCCGCGGCAGGCACCGAGCCGCCTGCACTGGGGCGAGCAGTCCCTTCCCTCGGGGACCCAGTGCTTGTCAGCGTGGACGTCATGGGAGACAATAGTACCGACAAAGTGAATTCTGCCCATGACCCTACTGGGTCTGGAAGCAGCTTCTCCCAGGCCCAGCTCCCAGCTGAACCCTCATTGCAGCCTGAGACCCTGCACAGAGCCCAAGCTAAGCTGGGTCTGGGCTCCAAGGCCCGAGAAATAGGAAGCAAGATGTGTGTGTTGTTTTAAGTCATTCCATGTAGGGCAGTGTGTCACCTAGCAACAGAAAACTAACAGCACACCACCATGACAGAAGCGCTAGGGTAACCCACAGGGGTGGCCCTGGGGACTGAACCCAGGCCTTTGCGCTGAGTTACATGCCCAGCCCTTTACTATTATTATAATTTCTTTTCTTTTTAACTTTGAGATAGGGTCTTACTAAAGTTTCCAGCCGTGTGATCCTCCTCTCTCCGCCTCCCAGAGTGCTGGGATTCTAGATGTGTCCAGCCACATGCCGCTCAGGTGGGAATCTGCTTATCTGAAATGCCTGAGAAGTGTTTTGGATTGTAGATTTTTCCAGATATTGAGAGAGAGAGAGACAGAAACTGCAACAGAGACTGAGACAGAGACAGAGAGAGACAGAGAGAGAGAAAGATTTCTGAGGCAGGAGCCAAGCGTAAGTACAAAATTGATTTGTTCTTCATGTACACCTTACACACATAGCCTGAGGGTGGTTCTTATACAATGTTTTTAACAGCTTTGTGCATGCAACAGTTTGGTGGTGTGGAATTTCCCACTTGTGGCATCTGTCAGCACCAGAGCGTTTTGGGTTCGGAGCCTTTCAGAGTCGGGCTGTTCAGGTCGGGGACATCAGTCTGTGCTGAGGCTCAGGGCACCTGGGTGCAGGAAGGAAAGGCGAGGGCGCACGGTACAGGGCTCTCGGGCTCTCGGGCCACTGTGTACCTCCCGCACTTCTCTGGCGCAGAGGTGAGCCAGGGCTCAGTGTGGCATTTGGGGGTGAGGGGAGGAGGTGTTGCTGAGGAACAGGGACGCCTGTGACGGCAGGCAGCTCTGAGTGGCAGGGCCAGCGTCACAGAGCATGGCCAGAGGTCATGAGGTCATCACCTCGGTCAAACATGGCCTCCACCTGTGAGGACTGCAGGGACGCTGGGGACGGAGGTGGCACAGGAGTGGAGAAGCCACGAGGATGGGAGACTGAGGCTGGAGAAAGTGGCCTGTCCTGGAGAGAGAGTTAAGAGGGAATAGGGGGTCACTGAAAGGAGGAAGCAGAGAGGGAGCCAGACCTGGGGCGCCTTGGCAAGGGTGACAGGGTAGCCACGGAACAGTAGGAACTACCATCCAGGACACCACGCAGGTACTAGGCGCTCTCTGAGGACCAAGGGCCCGGAGCTCAAGAGGTGGGGCCTCCTGTAATCACACGGCGCTGACTGCATGTACCAAAGGTGGGTCCACACACAGCTTCTCGAATCCCCAATGTCACACTTCTGTCACCAGCCCTGTCTCTCCACCCAAGGCTGGCCTTCCACCTACCCTAGAACTCACGCTTCTTTGAGAAATGTTCATTTCTAAACGCACAAAAACACAACCAACTCCGATCCTTTCCTTCCAACTATGTTACCTATATTTTTGGATCTACAGTGAATACTTTGTTTTGGCTGGTATTTTACATTTGGGACCTTAGCCTTGAATTTTCAAATTGTGTACTAGCCCATTAAGGCTAAGAAGCTTGAAATATAAGTAAGTCACTTTTTTAAAGCTTACATTCCTATGTAATTGATCCACTGAATTAATTTTGTTAGAAAGACTTGAAGCAAATTTAAAAGGAAAACACAAGAATCAGGCCTTAGTTCCTTCTCTCACTACTGAGAAAAATATCTGGCACCAAGAGTTGAAGAGGAAAGGTATTTTTAGTTCTTTAGTTTGTAGAGGTTTCAGCCATAGTCAGCCGGGTGTCATGGCAGACGGGCATTGAAGAGGAGAAACAGTTCATGGCAGGGCAGGCGGGAAGCAAGAAGTGGCGAACCTCCCTTTCCCTTTTATTCTGTCCAGGCTACAAACCTATTGGTTGGTGTCACCCACACCCAGGGTGGGCCTTCCCATTATTCACACCTAGAACCATGCTAAACCAATCAGTAAACTAATCCAATTATCACACACACACACTCCTCATTCACACACCCTCGATCCAGCCACCTCCAAAAAGCCCCACCTATGAGTGCATGAGGCTTTGGCGGAACATCCAAATGCAGGCCATCACAGGCCTCATATATCCAAACTTATTTGAACTTAACAAAGATTTAAATTTGTTATTATGAATAATTTTTTAGTTCTGAGAACAAAAACCAAATAAGCTGAATCCAGTTTACCTGGAGTAGGGCAGGGGTGGGTCCTCTCCCCTGAAGGGATGGTGCTGGCTGGCGCTCTGCGTTCTCGGGCGCCCCGAGACCTGGTGGCAGCAAACCTGCAAAGAGAAAAGGAAGAACTTGTGCCAAGTCCCACGTGCATTTTGAGAAGAGTGCGTTCACTTTGAAGAAAAGAAACCAAATGAATGAATAAATGGACAGACAGTAGGACTGACCACAAAGCCACTGTGAGTGCTGACTATTAGTAAAGTGAAGTTATCTTGGTAGGTGCCTTCTAAAAGAACTGGAGCCCTGAGAATGGGAAGGGGACCGTGTGATGGAGGGGGAGGCTGGGGAGAGAGGAGGGGAATTAAAAAGAATTGCAATGGGCTCCGCCCACAGACCAGCTCACCAGGAGGGGTGCAAGCATTACATACAGCAAATGTGCAACAGTAAAAATTTTAAAGTTAAAAACATAAATTTGTGACGATAAAAAGGATGGTAGAAAGGCAAAGAAACACGATGCAAGACTAATATTGTAAAACAGTAAAAACACCTTGTGGCATAGCGAGGCATAGACTCGGTGCCTATTCCAGGAGCGAGGGAGACAGGAAAAACGAGGCGGGTGAAGAGGGGCGAGCCCGCAGGAAACGGACGGGAGTGCAGCGCTTCAGAACCCGACGTCCTTGCTGTGTTCTTGGGGTTGGCAGAACCTTCGGTCTTTCACCATCACGAATGCTGTTGACTAGAGGGTTTTCTTTTTCTTTTCTTTTCTTTTTTCTGTTTTTGAGACAGGGTCTCGCTGTGTAGTCCAGACTGGCTTTAAATTCATGGCAATCTGCCTGCTTCAGCCTTTGGAGTGCTGGGATTAAAGTGTATGCCACCACACCTGGCTGTCTTCATAGACATGGTTCATCAGGTTGAGGAAGTTCCTCCCTATTATTAGTTTATTGAGAGGGTTGTTTTGTTTTGAACCAGGAAGAGGGGTTGAATTTCTCTTCACCAATTCTTCTTTATCTGTTTACGTTGTTTGAGTTTGTCCAATGTTAAACCAAGGTTACCCTCCTGATATAAACCCCACTTGGTCATGAAGAATTAAGTCACTGAAAAATAACATTAACAAATCAATGTTTAAAATAATATATGCTGATTGGATTGGATCTGCTGACATTCGATCTCAGGTTCTCTCCTTACAACTGTCTGGGTTTTGCTGTGGAAGTGATTCTGACCTTGTACTAGGGATAGAGAATTCATGTTCCTTTCTATTCTAGTTGCTGTAGGATCTTTGCATGCGTTTGAATTGTTTTCCATAAATATGTGGAAAAACTCCCCGGTGAAGCTACTGGATCTGGTGTTGTCTTTCTTTTTTTTTATTTTATGAAAAAATAAAACAAATTTTATAATCAAATAATAAGAGAATGACAATAGTTGTTATACTGATCTTATTATCTTCAAAGTCGTTACTTAGTACAAGACTTAAACCAAAAGGATTCTTACAAGAAAGAAACAGATAACAGCACAAACTTTCTTTCTGTGATCTAAAATAAGCTATTTTTATTTTGTATTTTTAAATATAATATTTTTAAAACAATGGAAGATGTGACGTGAGGAAAGTGTTCTCTTTCTGTAAAGGATTGGAGCTAAAAATTAAATTTCCTTATTAGATATAAGATCCTTGATGCTATTGTTTTTATTTTGGGGTGCTGGGGATGAACTCGGGGTCTTGAACACGGTAGGCAAGTGCTCGGCCTCTGAGCTTCACCCCAGCCCTTAGTTATTTCTTTTCACCAGGTCTTGGCAGAGGTCTTCCAAGAAGTTAGTTACTTTGTCTCCGCAGCTGGATTAGCTGGGCTGAGAAAACTTGATTTACCTTTTCTGGGTGTGGAAACCGCGGCTGGCAGTTCTTCTAGCACCTGCCGCTCGTCCTGTGAGGGCTGTGTGGCTCCTGGCAGGACCTCACCGGGTACACTGCCCGTCGCCTGTCTGCATGTAACACACGGGGCTCTGGAAAGACCCTCCCTACTGCAAAGCTCTCCTCTCTGCCCCAGCGTCAGCAGTTTGATCGTGGTGTGCCGGGCTGCGGCTTCTCTGTCTTCCTGCTCTGGGACTCACCGTTCCTCTTCCCTGTGAGTGACGGCTCTCATCAGACTTGGACATCTGGCCATCATCAGCATTTCTTCAAACGTTTCTCTGTCCCTCTCCCGAGACAGGAAGTAGCTGGAGCTTATGCCCCCTGGGTATTATCCCTCGGCTCCTGGAGGCTCTTTTTGCTTTAGCTTTTTCCTCTCTACTCTCACTTTGAAGACTCTTCTTAGCATACTTTCAAGTTCCCAGGCCACTTCTTCCGCAGTGTCTAATTTCTTGCTCTCCACAGAGGAAATGGTTTCAACATTTTGCTTTACCTTTACCTCTAGATGTTCCCTAGATGTTTGTATATCCGAATCCTTCATCAAGTCATGTTTCTCTTTAGCTACCCGAATCTATTTTGTAAGATGTACAAGGTATGATTGAAAAATACGGCGAATGTTTAAAGTATTTAAAATTTACTTCAGTGAAAGGCACACAGCCGGTAATCCCCTTCAGCACTCCCTCTTTGCTGTGAACACACTGTTCCATTGTTCTCGGCAATGTACGTTTTTAGTGTAATGGGATTTTTAAGCAGGTAAAGATCCACAGTATCTTCTGATCGCCCATGTGTAATACCCGTCTTAAGTCCTGTTGCCATGACTTAATCGCTATCACTTATGTCTGTGTTTTTCTTCTGGTTTTGGGTCAGATTTTCTTGTTTCTTTGATGACTGGTGATTTTTGATAAGAGATTGGAAATTGTAAATTTTATGTTGTTGTCTTGGTTACTTTTGTCTCGTTGCTGAGACAAAATACCCAACGCCCAAAATGAAGGAAGAAAAGGTTTATTTGGCTCACAGTTTGTGGAGGTTTCAGTCCATACTTGGTTGGCTCCGAGGCAGAAGAAAGCAAAGCAACAAGAACAAAGGGGGGAATGGCAGCCGAACAGCAAACAGCCAGAGCAAAAGGGAGGAATGGCGGCAAGCAGCTTCTTTCCCTGCCTTACTTTGTAAACCGGCTACCCCCACCTAAGGGGCATGTAGCTCTCACATAATCTCCATGCCATCCTCTTGCACAGGCTCAGGATGTATACAAAACAAGCACCCTGGCTTCCTGCTGAGTCACTTAGCCAAACCTCTAGACTCCCCAAGTTGACACAATGTATCAACCATAACAGTTGTCGTGAGCTGAATTTTGTTATTTTCCTGTAATTGTGGTTGTTTACTTTGGCATGCAAGCCATACCTTTGGAATCAGCCTGGAAAGCACCGTGGCTCGTTGATAAACTTTTTATGGGTTTGGGACAGCATCTAGCTGGGGCTGACCTGGCCCCTTGAGGGAGTTTACTGTCTTTTAGTCATAGGTCTCTCTGCCCAGCTAGCGGGAACGATGCCCCACAATGCGAGAGCCTCGAGTTCAGGGAAATCATTAGGGCCTTGTTTTCCTCAGAGCAAATGTGACTTTAGCAGAGTGTAACTTGATTTATGCACTTTCTCTCTTTGTCTTCAAAAAAGATGTAAGTATTGTTATTTTCTTTTCTATTCAGCCATTTGCCTTTGCATAACTAAAAACAAAATCTAAGCTCAAAAATGTTCCTAAAGAAAAAGGAATTAAATGACTGTGAAATAAAAATGTCACCGAAGTAAAGTGTAAAATGAGAATCCCTAAGCTTGCTCGTTGCTAAGTCCTGACGTGATTTCAGGGGCAGCGTTCCCAGAGCACAGCTCCAAGTGTGTAGAGGCCTCAAGTGCGTCGCAGCCTTCCACTAGCACGCCAGCTTTCGGAGGCCTGTTCTGAGCAGCCTTCCGGGCTTCCTTCTGGTCTCCCTTCCTGGGTAAGAGGGGATGCACAAAGGCTCTGGAGAGCGGTCCAGGCTCCTTCCTCAGGGCCAGAGGGGAGGGGCTGAGGGAAGGGGGAGGGAGGCAGAGACCTTTAAAATGTGGAAGTAGAACTGAAGCAGCAATTTTCTTAGGGAAAAACTCCCCCTCCCTGCAGCACTTCACACTGAGCTACATTCCCAACCCTTTTTATTTTTTATTTCAAGACAACATCTCGCTAAGTTGCTAAGTGACCAGGCAAGGCTCAAGCTTGAGATCCTCCTGCCTCAGCCTCCCAGAGTGCTGGGGTTACAGATATTCACCAATGGGTTCCGACTCATACCTGCTTTTGACTTTTATCAAAACTCCCCTCTTTCAGGAGCAAGGAGAAAGGAAAACAATCTTAAGCTATGGTGTTGCAACTTTCCATCCAATCCCGCAGGACAGCCAGAAACCCAGTCACAGTTTTAGGGCTGCATTCTGGGAGGAAACTGGGGTGAGAGACATGGGAGAAGGTCACGAAGGAACACAGGGCTCTGTTTTTGGGAACTGAAAGAGTTGGATTTGTTTATTCGACCAAGAGGAAGTAAGCATGGGAAAGATGAGCCAGAGATTTGCTGAGGCGGAAAGGACAACCCAGAAACCGGAAATGGCCTTGTCTGTGTTGTCGCAGTGACGACACCCCTGCATCTGCCCTCCCCTGTCCCCAGGCCAGCCTGGTCCTCAGTGCGAGATGGGCAGAGCAAGGCTGTGTCACCGGGGAGCCGGGGCTGGACGCCCGCTCTGTCACCAGCAGTGAGCCAAGGAATCTCACGTTTAGGATTTTCAGAGACAGGGTCTCGCTGCGTAGCCCAGGCTGGCCTCGAACTTGTGTCGATCCTCCTGCCATCCTCCCAAGCTTGTATGAACTAATGAGCTGGCAGAAGTTATTTCTTAAAGGGATTTTCTCGTCTTTGTCAATATATTTTCTCACATCTATATTTTAAAGTAATGCACAGAGCTGGGCATGGTGGCACACACCTGTCATCCCAGCACTGGGGAGGCTGAGACAGGAAGATCCCTGGGCTACATAGCGAGTTCAAAGCCAGCCTGGACCCTGTCTTAAAAAAAAAAAAAAAAAAAAAAAAAAGGTCGCACGACGAGCACGGTAATGCTAATTTTTTCTTTAACCACAAGATGGCAGTAAATGCTTACTCTTTGGAGAATAAAAAAGCGAGACCCTCAAAAATGCACTTGATATATATTTACGTAAACCTGTAAGAAAAAGGTTTAACTCAGTAACCCTGAAAGAATGGAACAAGTATACATGAAGTGAACGTCCTCATATCACCAAAGGAACGAAACAAGAATAGCAAGAGAGACACCTTGTGTGTTTGTGATTTAAAACACACACTCAAAGTCCAACACTAAAGCAACTTAGAAAGAACGTGTATTAATACTTTAATTTAAAATACAGAACAATGAAGTCCACACCATATTGTATAAGAAAGTTTTCCAGTGGTATCTGATACGGCGCCGACTGAGTGTTTTTACCAGAGCAAGAGGGAAGTCACTGTTGAATAATAAAAATTAATATCAACAAAAGTTTTTAAAAAAACATTTCCATAGAAAACAGGCTGGGTTTGTACTTGCAATGAAGCAGGTGATATTTTTACACAGACCTGAAAATTTTAAGCTTTAGTCAGCACATAGTAGAAGGCAAGTAGGAAATACTTGTTTTAATTTTCAAGTAAGATTGGCATTTTTCAGTAACCTCAGGCAAATTGGCTATTCTCTTTGCACCTTATTTTCTCTCATTGTTAAACTGGAGAGAACATTTTTATGTTTTCACAGGATTTCCTAGTGGGGAGGCTTGGGGGTGACCACCAGTTGAAGTGAGCATGTGTGTGTGTGTGTGTGTGTGTGTGTGTGTGTGTGTGTGTGTATTTAGTCCAGGGCCACTGAGATACAACCACAATCCTTTTTAGTTTCTATTTTGAGAGTGTCTTGCCAAGTCACTAAATTGCCTGGACTTGAACTTGAGATCCTCCTGCCTCAGCCTCCCAGGTCACTGCCATTACAGGTATGCACCACCATCCCCAGGTGGAGCCTTGTTTGAAAGCTGCATCCACAGAATAGGCCAAATTGTGTGACTTGACTGAGGTGACAGACATTGCTGTGGTCACAGATAGAGAGGCTTGTTAGCTGCCCCAGGCGGCCAGCAGCACATTAGGTATGAGGGTGCCTTCTCGGGTCACTCCTGTAACAGTGTCTCCTACGTACGGACAACAGCGGTGACCCTAAGCTGCTGTGAACGTCAGCTCCACCAGGATTGACGCCTTTCCTGTGAATAATGCTGACCGCCACGGCTTAGCCTGCAGATCCAATCATCATTAGCTATAGTGCATGACACAGAGATTCACATGTGCACAAGCAGAACTCTCAGAAGAACAACGCTCAAGGCCTGCTGACCAAGACACGAGATTCAGAGTGTCCCTAATATGCCTGTGTGCTCGGAAGTGGGGCATTCACGGGTGATGTGATCCTCAGTGGATTCAGCCACTGACTCCAGGAGCTGAGTGTGGTTAAGAGGGCGGGCCCAGTGGGAAGGCATGTCACGGGGGGCGTGGCCTGGAGGGTGTATTATCTCCCTCCCAGCTCCTCCTTTCTCCCTGTGCTTTGACCAGCTCTCCTCCGCCAGCCCCTTCCTCCCTGGAGCGGCTGACCGTGGACTGAACTCTCCCAAACCGCAAGTGAGAGTAACCCTCTCCCCCTTTAAATTGTGAGTGTTGGGTGCTGTGTCCCAGTGACAAGAATGTGACTGAGGCACTGACTTTATACCTTTCATTATTTTTCTAGAGAAAATAGAAACTATATCTTAGAGCCTAGATTTACGTTCTTTCCTACGTCTTCACAGAAATAAACCATTTGCAGAAATACTCAAGAGACAAAGCAATGAGGAAAGGAAAAGTCATAGAACTGAACACCAAACCAGCTGCTTAGTGAGTATTTACGAGCTGATTAGACGGCAGTGTGATGGAGACCACTGTGAAGCAGCCCTGAGCGGGATTTAAGTTAATCAATGGGCTTTTCATGCGAGTCTGTCCAAGGCCCAGGCTCCTTGTCTGGAGATGACGTGGACTCATAGTGAGTGAACCTCTGTGAGTCACTGATCCCCACTGAGGCCTGTAATGGTGGGTGAAGCTGGAAAGCCTCAAAGGCTAAGACAAGATCACAGCCCAGGACACCTGGATCCAACCTCAACTAGATAAAGACTGTAGCCTCAGGCATCTCACTCCTGGGTGGATTAACTTATACCTTACTTGGAGAAGTCCTTCAGTGATTCCACCCTTCCTGAGTACTCCCCTCCCTTCTTCTGATAACTAAATAAATACGGGCCACCCAGAGCAGGTCTTGGTCTTAGCCCTGAGAGAATCTCGAATTCTGTGAGAGGGCTTTGATCCTCCTGGAGCCCTGAAATCATTCCATTTGCCTCTTTTTATTTAGCCTTCACTGTACACTCCTTCGGGAGATTGTGGACCTGATCAGCCTGCAATAACTAAGAGATATTATTAACCCAATAGCAATGTATTTCTGTTACTAGGGAGTAAACATCCATAACCTTCAACTTTCATAAAATAGTCTTGATAGGAATTTATATTTCCATTTGAAAAGGGAGGCTGGGAACCTTGTCTGTCTGTCTGCCTGTCTTTCTCTTTGGTGTACTGAGGATTGAACCCAGGGCCTTTGCACTGAGCTACACCTTTAACATTTTATTGTTATTTTATTTTGAAAGAGGGACTTGCTAAATTGCTAATACGCCCATGCCTATGCTTCAGCTTGTAATCCTCCTGCCTCAGCCCCCTCAGTAATGAGATTACAGGCATTTGCCAAAACACTGGCTTCTGTACTTGTTTATGACTACATCCTAGAACTCCTTGAATCATAATGTCTCCATTGGAATGGACTTTAATAGGAGTCTATTGGAAAATGTTTTTTCCTAAAATTAACTGCTCTCCTATTTACTCCTAAGAGGAAACAGGGCATCTTCCAACGTACGTTAACTGAGTGCCCATGACTCGCCAGGCACTGCGCATGGAGGGTGCAAAGCCACCCCAGAGGCCCTGGCCCTGGAGGGCGGAGCGATGTCCACAGGGCAGGCTCTGAAGGGATAGGGACAGATGCGCGGTGGCGCTCCCTCACCAGGGTGCTGTGCAGTGGCTGTGCTGCTGGCTGCTCTCCCCGCCACCCCAAAGCTGCAGGCTGAGCGTTCATCCCCTCCCCTCCCGGTACAGCCTCAGCTGTCAGCCCCCTGCTGTCACAGCTCATCTGCCTGGAGATTCTGGGCCCAGCGTCTTGCAGGGAGCTGAAGCTGTCACTGGGACAGCCAGGAGTGAGTCAGCAAGGACCCCAGAGCCCCTGCCCACCTGCTCCCCAGAAAGAGTTCCCCCTGCAAACCCAGCTCGGGCCTTGGCTGCAAAAGCATGAATAGCAGCGAATCCTACCTGTCAACAGCTGGGCAGGTTTGAAGTTCTTTTTGAGGATGAATGTACTTAACTGTCACAGTCACTTCAGGAGGGGGTGACTGCTGCGTAACAAATAAAATGGAGGCACAAAGAGGCCAGAGAGCTGGGTGTGCAGGGCTAGGATGCAGACAGGTAACTAGCTCTTGTCCCCTTGTACCTGTGTCCTCCTGGTCCACCTGCCTCTTGCCTTGGCCCCAGGAATCCCACTGGGGAGATGTCCCAGGCAAGGCCCAAACTGGAATGAGAATGCTGTTCCTCAGCAACAGTGAGGGAAGATAACCTGCGCTTGGGAGTTGGTACTGATGGCGGCAGTAACCTGCCAGGAGGGACACAGGTGAGGGCCAGGCGGTGGCTGGAGAGGGAGGGTCCTTTTCCTCACCACTATGCCAAGAAAACATCCTCCACTTGTACTTTGTGTTTTTGTTTTTAAGCCGGAAATGTCAGGGAATGGGAACAATTCTTCACACACATATCAGACCGAGAGATGCACATGGCGTCACCCTGGGACACGCAGGCCACAGTGGCTGCAGATGTCCCGGACGTCCCCTAACCAAGCCTCTGATGAGCCGCCTTGTTACAGCGCATGCATTCTGCTGAGCACACAGCTTAGGAGAATTATCTGAAAATGAATTGCGCTGCTCTTTAGATTTTTAAATTACACTGCTGCATACTTACACGCTCAAAACTCTATGCCACGATAAAGTGCAGATCAACATCATAACTTTCCCGAATGTTTTCAAGGTGCCACGGGCAGTGTTTCCTTTTTGCTAACCTACTGCACCATTTACAAGAAACAAATACCGTTCCATCTCGGGCGCCTCAGCAGCCTCCAGATGGTGGAAGGTGTGAGCCCGCTCACGTGACAGGGTCACCAGGCACATGACAGCCTGGCCCGCAGTGCCAGGATAATGCACTTGGAAGAACGTCCCCCCCGCCACCGCTCAGCTCACAGTTACTTTAGCCATATGGAGAAGAGGTTGAGCAGGTTGGGAGTGATGTGGCCAGACATTTTCTAAGTCTTGGATCTGCGGGATGCTGGCATTACATAATGAACCCGTGATCAAACAAGTGAAACGGCGCAGCTCTGTAAGAGGAAATCAAAAAGGAAGTCATGTCAAAGCAAAATTAACCTTGCAGTCTAAGAAGGTTTCTTCAGCCCTGAAAGAAACTTGAAACCTGCCTTCAAGGAAAAAAAAAGTGCTTGTACGCCTTCAGATTTCCCTTAATAAAAACTCTTCTTCTGCCTGTAATTTATCCTGAAAGCAGAAAAGTATCAAATGCAGGAGTCAGCTGCAGAGGCAGAGTCCGGCTGAGCCGGGTGGGGCGGTGGGGGAGTTGGAGAGCTCTGCCTGCCGTGCAAACTCACCACATTGTTTCTACAAGTCCCTGCTTCCATTAAGCAGAGAGGGCGCATTGCTAACGGGAAGTTGAAGAGCTTAAAGAATGAGGTAAGTGAAGTAACTGCGAGAAGAAAAGGTCTTTCCTTCCCCCGGCGGCACAATCACTAAGCATCCAGAGATTCACACAGGACACGGGCCCGGACCCCCATCCAGGGCCACGGGCTGCGGGTCTTTGTTCTCCCACTGGGAGACCAACGGCGGCGACCGAGTCCCTTCCTTCGTGTGGTGCAGAGCCAGTGGCCTCTAGAGGGACCATCCTGAGCTGGCGTTGCACTTGTACTACATACTGCTTCCTGGAATGGATCGCATGTGGAATTCAGAGCGAGCTTTGCGAAGGGTGAGAAGCTAACTGTGACAGGTACAGGATTCTGTCATTACAATTTCGAAGTCAGACGCTGGTAAAGGTGATGGGGTGCAGGTTGGTGAGGCGTCTTCTGAGACTTCCTCACAGTGTCCCTGTTCTCACACGGCCAGGGATAGCAAAGAGATTCCCCGCCGGGTTCATAGGGAAGAAAAAACAATATTTTCCCATGATTGTCCCTATGCTTAGGAAAGACATGAATTGTTATTTCCAAGGGTTTCTTCTCATGGCCCCACTGTAACAGGAGAAGGTAGAAAAATAGACATTTCAAGTTAACAGGCAAATGCATTCAAGTCATTTGAAATGTCTTACTTTGACTTCCATTCTTCAGGATATTGTAGATCCATCTCCTTCCATTTAGAATATTGTCCAGTGAGGTCTGGATCTTCAAGCACTGAAATTAGAGTATTAAAAAGAGGTAATTATACATGGAAAATAACTCACTTCTCGTTAAGTTGACCTGTGGCAAGAACATGCATTCTACAGGTCAAGTCACATCATGATGCTCAGAAACTCCACATTTCACCCATTTGCTGGCACTTTGAAATATTAGATATTGTTTGAACTAAGCAGATTGTGACTTGGAAGTTGCTTTCACGATACTGACATTTGTTGTTGTATCATTGCTGCTGTTAAATACAGCAGATGGGCTCGCTCCCTGTGAGACAGAGCCTCGTGATACCTCCAGACAGCTCTCAAGGAAGCCAGCTCGCCTTCAACGTTTTCTCAAGACATGATTTTCCAGAGTCGAACTTGCTCATGTTTCTGTTACAGTTTATGGCTGGGGCTGGGGGGCTGCCCCGTGGCAGAGAGCACGCTTAGCATGGCTGAGGCCCTGGGCTCAGCCCCTAGCACCCGCACCCGCCTGAACTGGATCAGGATCTTGATTTGGTTTGGGCTTCAGAGGCACAAGTGGAATCCCTTCGTCCTTTGCCCTGCTTTTGGAGTCTGTGGAAATCACTTTACACCACTCTCTCGCCAGTTTGTGGTTAATTGTAAGCCTTATGTCTTCCATCAGGGTCACACAAAGCTTACTGAAAACCTCCAGTGCTTAAGGCACTGGCGATTTTTACATAGAATGTGATGAGACCAGATTCCTAACTGGCAAACACCTAATCAGCCGACTGCTCTGTGTTGTTCCGAGTCTGGCTGTAGTTGGCATCACAGTATTCCCGTCTCCTGTTCCTTTTCCTACCCCAAACGTAGGTAAGCAGGGCTGCACGCGGGTTCTCAGGGCTTTGCTCACTCTGTGGGCGTTTTGGTTATTCTCTTCCTATTAGGAAGCAAACGTGGGTTCCCAGAGTCCGGGTGTGTCTTGGTTACTTTTCTCTTGTTGCTGAGACGAAATACCTGATGCCCAGAATTAATGAAGGAAAGGTTTATTTAGCTCACTGTGGAGGTTTCAGTCCATACACAGCTGGCTCCAAGGCAGGGTGGCACATGGCAGAGGGCAACAGTTCGTGGCGGAGGAAGACAGGAAAAGCAACCAGAGCAAAAGGGAGGATGGCGGCAAGCAATGTCTTTCCCGCCTTTAAATTGTATGCAAACTACACACCCCAGGGCGGGGGTGGCACTCACATCCATAATTCCAACTTTGGAGCATGGATCGATCATAAACTCTAGAAGCCCACCCCATGACTGGTGAGGCTTTGGGTGGGGGGACATGCAGACACAAACCATAGCAGGGTGAGAGCTCGTCCTGTGCTTCCAGTGATGGCAGCGCCACTGCCACGGCCACTGTCCCAGACACGCGTGAGGCGGCTGTGAGCGGCAGCCCCTCTGCCTGAGAGCGAGCAGAGCCTGAAACGCTGAGGAACGTCTGCTCGTCGGGAATCTTCATGGTGCGTGGCCAGAACTTAAAATTCAATCTCTCTCAAATGCTATTTCCTTTTGAGGTTCCTACTCAAGGATAATTCATATCTTTCCTTAATTCTTTGAAATTGCCTTTCCTACATTTTACATTTAAATGTATACAGCAGGCAGTCAGTTCCTTAGGTATTATAAAGCCCCAAATGACACGGTCATCTTTCCTGAACAGTCCCATTAGCGTTCTATCAGTGATTCATTCTTCTCATCGCTCTCCCTACCACACGAGAGATGAAAATGCCACAGTACTTTGTACAAATTTTTATTTAATGTTTCCCATATTTTATCCCTGTAACTTGCCCACTCATTTCTCTCCTACCACCTACCTGGAAACGCTTCAAAAAGGTTATCATAATACTTACCTTCTTTTTTGTTGTTGTTGCCTTTTTGAGACAGAGTCTCTCTACATATGCCAGGCTGGCCTGGACCTCCCCAGGATCCTCCTGCCTCAGCCTCCTGGGTGCTGGGATTATAGGTGTCCCCCACCGCCCCACTCTCCGTCTACTTGTCTCCTGCACACGGTCCTCATCCAGATGGAGATGTTCCTGAACGACGGGATGCTGACTGGGGGATGGCGAAGGCACGAGGGCAGGGAGGGATGGGGAGAGGACCCGCGAGATCGGAGCAGAAGCTCAGTGTTGCAAACGCGTCCTCAGGACTGTGCTTCGCCTCTGTGGCAGCTGTGTGTGTGGGCAGGAAAGCGTCCCCCGATCTCTTCCACGGCACAGTGCCTCCTCCTCGGGGTGGCCGCAGCTGCTTCCGGTCTGGCTTTCGCCGCGGCTGCTCCGGGTGTTGGGGGCTGAGTCCAGCGCCCCGCACGCTGCTGCTCTGCCTCTTCACAACACTCCTCGCATCCCACGAGAGCAGCACCGACTCACGTCCAGCTGGCCAGGACCTGTCCACCAACAGCCACGTAGGCACTGGACCCCTGGGCTGGCACACTAGTGCACGGGGCACACTAGTGAGCGCTCATCTAGACCTGCTAACATCTGACATTGCGCCCCTCCCACCTGGCCCTTTGCACTGGCTGCACACTGGGCCGTCCCAGGCCTGCAGCCCCTCTGCTGGGGTTGCTCTGGGGGTGCCTTCGTGGTCAGGTTGGGACAAGCTCCTTGGGGGTTCCAGTGAGCAGCCCAGAGTGAGGCACTGCATGGGGACAGACAGCACCACCCCTCGTCTCGAAGGAGACGCCATGGCTCCCGCGTCAGGAATGGGAGTCTCTGGCTGAGAGCGAGGACCCCGGTGCTCAGGCCCATGGGTTTGTCCTGCCGACAGCAAACGCCAGGGAGTCTGCGCTGTAGGGCAGTGAGCACACTGGGCTGAAGGGATTCTTCTGAACGTGAGCATTGTCTGTGGGGTCACACTTATCATGACAGAGCTGCTGCCACAGCCTCGTGTGCTTCGTCCTCTGCCGACTCTTTTATGTCCAACTCAGTGCAGATGATGGAGGACAGGGGGTCATTTCCCGCACGAAACTGCTTGTGGTGATGAACTCAAAAGTGGAGCTGTTGGTACACATCCTGCCTCAAGAGCAGAGCTTGAAGTCACTCGCTGGCAGGAAGGCGGGACAGTGGGACAGAGTAATGTGCAGACTCGGGACCTGGTGCGGCCGAACCTCAGGTTCTCCACAGCCCGTGAGGTGTGCGCTGTGATGATCCTCATTTTGTGGACGAGGGAACTGGGACACACAGGGTGAGAGACAGCTAGAGAGCGGCAGACTCAGGATTGAACCGTGGTCGTTTGGTTCTAAAATTTAGCTTCTTTGTCAATATGATAATTTCCCTCCCATGTGTGATCTTAGTAACTTCCTTAGGTGTCCTGGTCTGGGCTTTCTTGTCTGTAAAACACTAATGAGGGGCAATAACCTGAGTGACGCTCAGCTCATGGGGTGGGGGTACCAGGCCCATGACACAATTAGCTGCTCAATAAATACTGGTTGGATAAATGAATAACAGAATGATAGAATGAGACAATTACAAATGGTATATGTGCGTGTAGTCTGTAAATTATATTATGCAAGAATAAATGTACTATTATGATGATCTTGATGACAATGTAGACTTGGGGCACAAAGTTATGGAAAAGAGTTAATATACAAAATCAAAATAGAACTACTCACTACTCAGAGTGCTTAAAAATACGCATAAGAGTTTAACAATCTTCCCAATGATAAGAAGGTAAGCGTAGAAAATGAAGTTATTGGAAGTTTTCCTTCTATTTCTAAGTCATTGAAGAAGCATTCTATAATCTACAAGCTTCATCTTTGTTATTGCCAGGAAATTAGGCCATCAAAAAAGATAGCGTTGAATCAAATCTAGCCTGCTCTCCAGAGACAAATCTGCCAGCAGCACACGTAAAGTTTACTTTTAATTTTTTAATGAGGTGCCGGCTATTTTTGAAGGAATGCTCTTGAAACACTCTTACATCATTCCGTAGGGGAAGAGGAGGCAGGGTGCTTGTGAAATGTGCCACCAAGGGCTCCATTCAAAATGTCCGAAAGTCGCCTGAGCTGAAAATAACAATTATTAGCTATCAGCTTTATGAAGAAGGATGAATTCTACGCTGGTAGCAACAAAAGGAAAGATTTGGGAGTCCAAAACTTAGGAGAAAGAAACTGCAGTCCACGGTGTGTGGTTCTTTCCCTCCATTTTTCAATTCTTCATTTCAAGAGCGATGTCCACACATTTCCTTAGGTTTGCCATTCTCAGTGCCAACGAGGTCCTGAGCTCCTTGGAGGATGAAAACAGCCAAGTTCATCAGGACAACAAGCATGACGAGCTCTTCCAAAACAACCAACAGCTCCTTACAGCTTCTACTGGGTACCAACAGCTTCACTTCTTTTTCTCCTGTTCTGCCTGTTACGCTGCCGGCAACAGTCCTCAGGTGGGCCTCCCGCTCCCAGCACAACACTTACTCAGTTCGGCTGTGGGTTATAAATTGACCACCAGTTGTCAATCCACTACAGTGATGTATAATCATAAACAACAAATAACTTCCTGAAAGAGCATGTGGTTTCTTCAAGGTTACTTATCTTACCTTTGTTTTTATTTGTGAAGCTTAGAATTACTTTTGCCTAATCTGGGCCCTAAACCCTAGATTTTCTTTCTTTCTTTTCCTTTCTCTCTCCTTTCTTTCTTTCTTCCTTCCTTCCTTCCTTCTTTCCTCCCTCCTTCCCTCCTTCCCTTCTTTCTTTCCTTCCTTCCTTCCTTCCTTCCTTCCTTCCTTCCTTCCTTCCTTCCTTCCTTCCTTTCTTCTTTCAAGTGCTGGGAACTGAACTCAGAGCCTCACAGGTGCTAGGCAGGAATCCCACACCTAAGCCGTTCTTTTTTCCTTTTGAGCAGAGTCTCACTAGGCTGCCAGGTTAGCCTTAAACTTTCAGTCCTCCTCAGCCTCCTGCGTGCTGGATTACAGGTACGCACCTCCCCACCCAGCTCGACACTGTGTCTTTGATAGTCAGGAAAAAAACGTGGATAAATATAATGATGCTCACATTACATGGCCCGGGGTGGAGTGGCAGCATTCACAGTGTTGTATGAGAGATCAACATGGCTTAATGAGAGACATTAAAAAGCACAGAAACGAAGACTCTGGCTTGCGCAAGAAAATGAGAAAACGGTGATTTATCACTCAGCAGGAGAGGAAATGAAGGAGAAAGGTCCACGGGACGAAAGAACGAACTGCTCTGGGGTGTCTCTGACACACACAGGTGAGATGTTCGGTGTGTGCTGCACAGGTGGACGTGCGCAAGGAACTCGGGACAGGAGCTTGGCGGGAGCTGTGCCCCGCAGGCTGACAAAAGGCACAGCTGGGGAGCGCGCGGAGAGCAGTCACCGTGGGGAAAGGGGCAGGGGTGTCAGGGAGGGAGAGGAGACAGCGCGGCTGTGTGGCGTCACTGACACCAAGAGCTCAGGGAAGGAAGGGACCAGCAGTCCCCACTGCAGTGGAGGAGTAGGAAGTCACTGCAGCAATGGGAGGGCGTCCTGGGGGTGGGGCTGAGGCAAAGCTGCAGTCAGCGAGTGTAGGTAGACCAGATAATCCACTTTGACCCGAATAACGGAACAGTACCCGAGGGTCCAGGAAAGGGGCAGGAAAGTTGTCCAGCTCTCCTTTCTGTCTTCTTAGTTCCTGGCCTGTGATGATCCTTGCGTTTAGAAAGACGTTTGAACAGCCCCAGGTTCTCATGTTCTCTTGCCGAATTTCTGCTTACTGCTTCTGCTGGCTTAGAGGGTAATCGTGTCTAGAATTAAAAGGGTTTTCCTGCTGGGAAGTGTTCTTGCAGGGGTGAAGGGAGTTAAGGAAACCTGGTAAGACTAAGAACTTCATCTTTTATTTCCTCGATTGCCTGTCTTTCCTTCTGGCTTTTAATCAGACTTCAGTCCAGCACCCTACACACTAGAGGAAATAATTAGTAGGTGTTGAATGAATGGTGTATGGAGCCCACAGAGAAGTTTACCACTTTCACAGAGCAGATGTGTCAGTTAGTCTCTGAAAACAAGACAAGCTGAGACTCAAGAAGAGACTAACAGACGGCGAGAGGACATAGGATAAGGCTGGGTCACCTTACACGGCCTTCTGTGGGACTCCGTGGCTTTCGACGTGGCTATTCCACACCAGGTCTTGTGGTAATCATCAAATGAGATCACTTTGGGTGGCCTGAAAATACAACAGAAACAGGACAGTGGGCGCTGTGCAACTGTGCTTTCCAAAAGTGGTCCATCCGCGTGGACTGCTCAGGCAGCACCCTGTCATAAGACGCAGATCGGCTTACAATTCTAACATGCATCTTTAATAAGTGGATCTGACACATTCATTTCCTAACCCTAACCCTAGCGCTAACCCTAACCCTAACCCTAACATAACGTATCCCTAATAAGTGGATCTGACACATTCACTCCACCACCGTCAATACCAGTCACAGAAAGAAAAATATGTCCAAATCATGGTTCGGTGGTAATGGTAAATGTGCTTCACGTGCCTGTTATAAAAATATAAAGGGTTAAGGCATCCGCTTTTCATGAACAACATTAAAAAAGAATATTCAGCAAAGCATTATACCTGTAAATTGTCTCATTCTATAATAAAATTTTTCTTGAACTTTATGTCAAATTTAGTATAATTACCTTATTTCCTTCCTACCATGAGGAGAGAATAAAAGCATCAGAATTGAGATTAGTTTAATTTTCACACAGAATCTGACCATTTTTGCAGGGGGGAAGAAATAACTCTTTTCTACTACTTCTGCCTGAAGTCTTCTCTCCCTTTCCTAATATAACTATGTCCTAGAGCTGATGGTGGAGGTGCATACCTGTAATCCCAGCACTTGGGAGGCTGAGGCAGGAGGATCACCTTGAGTGCAGGGCCAGCCTGGGCTACAGAGTGAGCTCAAGTCTGGCCTGAACTACACAGAGACCCTATCTTTAAAAAAAAAGAAAAAGAACTGTGTTCTAATTGGAGAATAAAGATTATTCTAAAGTTTTAAATACCTATAAGACAGTATCTTAAATAACTGCATTTCTAAGTATTTTCACTAAAACTTTTTAAAGAGACGATCTCAACACTGTATAAACAAAACATTACTTAGTGATATTTTTCAGAAGTCACTGGTTAACTGGCTTAAATAGATACTCAAACATCAAGTGTCAAATACCATAAGTTTGTCTCCTAATTTGAGTTTCTAGCTCTCTGAAAGTGGCGTGTTTGAATAAGAACATTAATTTTTATAGGTGAACTATAGGTATCGTCAGGTAAATGCTTGATTTTGCAATTAATGGGGCTGTATCTAAATGTGTTAACGCAGTCATGTCTTTAGAGAACAATTATAGACACCTAATCTGAAGACTAACAGTTTTCAAACATGTTATTGCTCTTCCAATCACACTTAAATAGAAACCTGAAACTTGATGGAGATAAATTAATCATTACTGTTACTGATTCCAGAGCCGCGCGCTCCGAAATGGTGTGGTAAGCTAACACGACAATGAAATGCTTCAGCCTTGGGCAGCGGAGGCCGCAAATGAAAGGCTGCATTCTGCCTCCTGCATGCACAAGCTTGCGATCAATCTGCTGTCACAGGTCACTTAACAGACAACAATGACCCAAGAGGAAGGGAACTGTCAACACGCTGTCTCGTGAAACAAGCACGCCATCTTCAGGCACAATCGTCCCCATTGTTTTTTGTCTGTTTGAGGCTGACCCACCACCCTTCCCTTCCCAAGGGTGTCCTGTTCAATTTCAAACCGCTAGCCTTCAGGGGCTTTCTTTTCTTTCTTCCAGAATAATTAAAAATATTACCTTAAAAGGTATCACTTTAGTTAGCTTGAAGATATGAAGCAGACGGTCTTAAACATTTAGGCGTATATTTGCATTTTCAATTCTATAAAGGAAGGAGCCCTTTAAAATAAGGGAACAGTAACTATAGTTTACTGTTACTCAGATAAACAGCCGCGTTTAGGAGGATGCATAAAAATCCATGTGTTTATAGTTTCAGTCAATAACGGGAATTTATTGAATGTTATCATTGACATTATGAATATGAAAAAATAGAAGGCATAATTTTAAACTGAACATGAGGGCCTATTACCCCTCTGGGAAAATAAGATAAATACCTGGACTAGTGAACAGAGTGGGTTTCTATATTACCACAAAAAATGCTACACAGTTCCACCCAGACATTTGGAGAATGCAATACATTAACAGATGTTTCTTTGGCAGCAAGCAAGAGAAGTTGGAGGATGAGATATATGACTTCTGTTTTGAAGCCATCAGGACAAGAGTCACTTGAGGTTTGGTCTGGAGACAGGGAAGTGACAGCCTGTGCCAGGGTCAGATGGGAAGGAGGGTGGTGTGTACATGGGGTCAACCCAGGAGGGAAACGATGGCAATCAGACCATGGAGAGCCGTTGGGGTTTGATACGTGAACGTGGGCAGTATCTTCAGATTTAAGCAGATTCATATCTAACTTGGGATTGACTCAAGAAGCATGATTCATTGGGCAATGGCCATCCATAATTTTGGAAAAGACAAATGAATTACAAAATCTGTGTTTGAGTAAGAGTTTTCTGGGAAGCAGTCTACAAGGGAGGTTACCTAAGGCGTTAGGGAATCAAATTCAGTCACTGAGGCACAAGAGAACAGGGTTAGTAGGGGGAGCAATGGCTAGGAGGTCAGGAGACGAATCTAAGGTGATGCGGCGGAGTCCGTGCGCGGAGGCACCTGGCAGTGTGAAAGGTGGGGGAAATGTTGGTGTCAATTATTCTTCTAAAGCCCAGGAGAACAGAAACTGAAGTAAAATATGAGTTTAATTTTAGCCATGGGGCTCAGGTGATGATAGGGCAGACCGGTCGCAGTGACCTCCACGCGTGTGACTGAGAAATTGGGAAAGGAAAGCGAGGTGTTTGGGGCCAATCAACATAAAGATTGATGGATGAGGCCATTAGAGAAAGCGGACTCCATGAGTAAGTAAGTGTCCAGCAAAGAAAGCACAGAAGCCAGCTCACAGGAAGAGGGAGCCCGTGAAGGGGAGCGAGGGCTCCTGAAGGGGAGAGGAAGATAATGGCGCGCTGTTTCACGGAAGAGGCAACCCGGCCTGAGCAGAAGCCGGGGAGTAGTCAGTCCCCCGTGTCCGGCTGGGACTCGCCTGTCCATGAGACCACGCCTTGGTGACACACAGGGCCTGCTGTCAGCTGGCTGGGGTCACACCCTGGGGCACACTGCTGAGCTGTGAGCTGGGCAGATCACCTAAGCTCTGCCTGCTCTTTCCTGCCCTACGAGGGAAGCCACAGAGCCCGCCCAGGCGTCACGGCGAGCATTCGATGAAATCATGCAGGAGCAGAGCCACAGGGCGGCCGGCGTCCTTGCTGCCTCTGAGAAACACCTGTCCGTCCTCTCCTGGGAACTCTATGCCGTGTCCCAGGGGTCTTCCTCCCTGGGACTCTCCCCATTCCAGGTTGCTGGAAAAGCCATCTCACTGCAGGGCACAGTCTCAATGCTCACATGGGACAGAGGCCCAGCATCAGCGGGCCACATCCAGCTTCGCTGCGGGTCTCGCCCTCCATCGGGCAGCCCGTCTGCACGGAATTCCTGCGCGGCCCGGGGCTTACAGCACCACACTGCTCTTCCACACTCAGGCTGTCCTCGTGGCTCGCTCAACCCTAACTCATCAAGATGGGCACTCTGTGCACCAAGCTCTTCACAGAGGGCACGGGTCGCCTCCCCAGCAGCTGTGTCACTGCCCCATTCTGCAGCCACCACACAGGCAATGCCGCTGAGCCCCTGGCTCCTGCGAGAGCTGGATGGGTCCAGGGTGAGCACAGCGCCCGTTCTAGGGGCCGAGTCGTACCAGAGACCCGTGTCAGTGCAACGCTGGCCGTAGCGCTCTGGCACAGGCCATCTCATCCCTGGGAGTGTCCACCCTCTGCCGAGGCCGCCCTGTTGGCCGAGCTCCTCTGCACTTCCTGATACATTTCAGATCCCGATGATAAGTTTCCCGAAACAGAAAAGCAGCAGATTTTTTAGTTAGGAGTAAATTGAATGTGTAAATTAAGTTAGGAAGAACTGTCGTATAATAACACTGAGTTTTTCTCAAACTACACACAGTGAATATTTTTCTCTATTCCTACTTAGGTCTTTTAAAATTTCTCTTAAAAATATTTTGTGGTTTTGAGTTCAGACATGTTATACATGTTTTGTTACATTTTGACATTGTTAGGAATGACATTTGAAGTTTTTTATCTTCTGTTGGTTGTGAGTGAATAGAAATATAGCTGATTTTTAAATATTCATCTTGTAGCCGGAGTCTCTGCTAAATTCATTTAAATTTCCAGGCTTTGTATATTCATTTGGATTCTACTATGTACATAACGGTGTTATCTTTGGAACGATTTTCAACAGTCCTGCTGACCCAGTTTTGCTTTCTGCAGTTTTACTGACCGGTGGTCAGCCACAGTACAAAAATATTAAAGGGGAAATTCCAGAAATAAACTGTCTGTAAGTTTTAAATTGCACACGGTGTGAAGAGGAGGAGACCCTGTGCCCTCTGGCCCTGTCTGGCCAGCAGGTGAATCGCCCCCTTTCCCGGGAACCCGTGCCGCACAGACCAGCTGCCTGCCACTCACTCGGTCTCCCCGTGCTCACCAGGTCAACTGCAGCGTGGTGGCGCCTCTGTCGTATCACCCTTGCCCAGGAGCCCAGTGTCCTGTTAGAAGGCCCGCGTTACTCACCTTACTTCATCTCACCACGTAGGCACTGTGCTGTTTCAATCTTAAGAAAGGTGAATACGGGCAAGAGGGTGTTTTGAGAGAAAGACAGCACATCCATGTACCTTTGGCTGCAGCGTATAGCCCAAACTATTCCATTTCACTTTTGTTACTAATCTCCTACTGTGTTTAACTTATAAATTTAACGTTATTATGGAGGTGTATAGGAAAAAGCAAAACATCTACAGGGTTTGGTAGTATCTGCAGGGATGGTTCATCCTGGTCGTCAACTTGCTCGGTTTGAGAGATGCCCAGGGGATTAGTAAGCACACTCTGGGTGCGTCTGGGTAGGCCCGAGGGGGTGACCCTGGGGGCTATACTTGGCTCCTGGCCCCTTCCTCTGGCTCTTTCCCTGTCTCTCTGCTTTCTGGCTGCCATGGGGTGAGCAGCTTTCCTCCACCATCCTGTTCTTGCACTAAAGCCAGCTGACCATGGACTGCAACTGCTGAAGCCACGAACCAACACCAGCTAATTGCACATGTCAAGTATCTGGTCGCAGGGGTGAGAGCTGACCCAAACACGGCAGTCGCTACACCACTGTGGGTCTTAAAACCAGTGGCGTTTAGCGTTCTGACCTTCAACCACCTCCTTCTCTTCTCTTGGTCATCTAGCCACCAGTCTTCCTCTCCATCTCCTCCCTTGGTTTTGTAGCACTGCAGCACTGCATACTCACGCTCTGGTTGCCTCAGCATTTGTGATTCATCTTTACTTTTTATTCAGGATGTGAAGATGCCTTCCTGAGCTCCAGGCTGCGGGCAGCTGCTCCTCCTGTCTCCACACTTCTGCCTGGAAGCCCTGCTCCCTTAACCCCAGCTGAGCTCCTATTCTGCTTGCAGGAACCACCTTGCATCACCTCCTGTGAGGCTGGGCTTCGCAGGCCCCTCATCACCCCTCCAGGCCTTGGGAAAACGCTTCTCCCTCTCCTCCCTCTGCCAGAGCAATTACGCAACACACCAGTCAAGAGGCATGGCCCAGTAAAATGCTGCACTGCATTTAAAAGAGATCCAGAGATCGATGACTTGGTTAACAAAAAAGTGAGGGCTTCCAAAGGAAACCTAAAAGAAAGTCGCAGGGGAAGGAGTGCCCATTTAATATGGCTCATTTTGAATATAAGTCAACCTGACCTTAGCATTCCTTGAATTCATCCTCAGCCACGATCCCGACACTTGCCCTGTGGGTTCTAACTACATAGCCTTCTCCGTGGACGACACCCCTGCCCTGGTCCTGTGGGGCCGAGGTTCAACATTCCTCCCCTCGCTGTCTCCCCTTCCAAAGAGTCTTCACCCCACAGTGCAAATCTCCTGAGGCTAGGGCTGTGTCCCCAGTGCTGGGGCACAAAGTCTGGCACAGGGTGTGCGTGGTGACTGCACGTTCAATACGTGAAAAAGGAGCCCAAACTCAGCCCATCGCCTGCACATGGCACCCGTGGGCCGCGGGCCACAGCCCAGGTGGTGAGCACAGTATGGTCTCCTTCAGTTGCCGAGCATCACCCGAGCCCCCGGATTAGGCTCTGGGCCGCTGAGGAGACTCTGTCTGACTCTTGCTGCATCTTTTGGATTTCAGTCCCTTGGCTACACCTTGGAATACGCCCGTCCAGCCAGCTCCATCCTTCCAGTGCACGGGGAGGTTCTTCCCCCACGGCGTCAGGCGGCCATGATGCTAAGGGCAGCATCTCCCTGACTGGCCTCTGAAGGACCCCAGAGTGAAGTCTCTATCTAAAAACTGCACATGGCTGAGCTGTACTTCAGAAAGAAGTATGAGAGCAAACATTAGAATTCACAGGTACACAAGTCACAGCCTGATACACCCCAGGAGTGGAGAGGCACCGAGATATAGGCGGTGCTCGTCCTGCTGAGGGCCACTCAAGGGCTTCTGCACAGAGACTGGGGAGACACAAGCCGAACACCAGAGATCCAGCCTGATTCTGGGCTCCCTCGTCCTCAGCTGGGTGCAGAAGACCAGTGGCAGCAGAGCCCACAGAGGTCACCTTCTGACCACCTGACCAGTCAAGGCTTCCCTGGGCCTTCCTGTGCTGCAGTGAGTTAGACCACACGCGGAAAGGGTGCTGACACTCCAGGGGCTCCACTGTCTCACGGGCAATGAGTGTCCATGCCCTGGACACTGCGCTTAACAGGCCTACCTTGTGCCAGGCAGGGTAAGCGCTCTGCCCGCACTGACCCACCTCAGGGGCTGCATGGCGGCCCAGCTGAATCCCGGCCTGTGGCCCCTTCCCCAGGTCAGGCATGAGCATCTTGCAATTTTTGCCACCCTGTTTTGCAAACAGAAGCCACTCTGCTTCCTGATTTTCCTTTTTTTTTTTTTTTTCTGGGCCAGGCAAGGAAACCTGGGCTAACTCAAGTGCTATTTCAACTCTTTAGCTACAGCCCAACCAGCTGTTTTCTGCATCTGCTGGGCTAAGGACATAAAGCTGATGGAAAGGCCCGGGGAAGTGAACACACAGAACCGACCCGAGATTCCAGACCTACACTCATCCAGGTGATCCCGGCTGCCATGCGGTCATGGTCTCCCCAGGTATACCACGGCTTCAGCAGCCCCCACCCCCGGCACCGCTCCCCAACAGAACCTTATCTTCTCCTAAATTGCTTGGGTGTTTTGTGATCTATATATAGGGCTCATTCTATGGATGACATATTTTCCTCTTAAGAAATAAAACAATAAAATAATAGGCCAGTTTATATAGTAACATTCAATTTAAATTCAATAGAAATAATTCAGTATGTTTCCACACTCTTCCTGAAGATAACATTAAAGAAAAGTATTGTGAGAGAAGCAAATGTCTACTTCCTGGGATGGGTTAAAAAAGTTCAGTGGTAGAGCACTTGCCTAGCACCCGTGCGGGCCTTGGTTCTGTTCTCAGCACTATAAAAACAAAAAGGTAAAAACCTAATTAGTACAGAAAACACAGGCTGCTTAACGCTTTAAGCAAATGACTCAACAGAGACATTTATGAAGAAGAACTCACCTGGTGAGCTCGTGTGCGTGCTTAGGTAACAGGACAGAGCCGTCGTCCACTGTGAAGAAAATACATAAAAGGGCCAGGATTATTTGGAGAGTGGATATACCGCTTCCTGCACACTCTCTCCAAAACCTCAGTAAAGTGGCAACAAAGGAATACAAAGAAGGTATAAAACCTCAAGGAGAGCAAAAGAAAGACGACAAGCAAATCTGTCAAGATAGGAAGCCGATGTCAGGTGCTGTCTTAGCGCTTTAGAAACTTGAAACCGCGCTGTGAGATCACCGAGCCCAAGGGAAAGCAAGCGCGTTTGCCCCTGAGAAGCTGAGGCGGCCCTCAGGGACCAGAGGGAGCACCGAGCCCCGCGAAGCATGGGGAGGCCGAGCACAGGCCCCGGATCTCTCCCACTCACGCTGTGGGACAACAGGGCATCCAGACAGGGAGGAAGACCGCGTCAAAGACTCAGGAGGAGGGTACCGGGAAGAGGGACGTGTACAGGATAGAGAACAACAAATCAAGTAAACCCCCTGGACAGCAAGATTCCTGACCCACTTTCCTTGTCCAGCATGTTCTCTCTCTTTCTCTGTCTGTCTCTGCCTCTGTCTCTCTGTCCGTCTGTCTCTCTCTCTCACTGAGAGATTTACTCAACCCTGATGAGATGATCAGGTTCTCACTAACTAACTGCATGATGAAACAAAGTCATCAACAGCCCAGCCTATTGTGAGAAGTCAAGTCCACCCTATGAAGGACGAAGGTCACCAGTCACCGAGGCAAAGTAAACCTCACGAAGCCAACAAGTCAAACAAATAAATCAGGAGCAAAACAGAAAGCAGACATACATTTTTCTAAAAACCTCTCTGAATATACAACAAAAAACAAAGAGACAAATAGAAATGATGAATGATAGGCTTGGCTTGGAGAACAAGAGAAAATTGATTTTAAAACATCCAAAGTGCAGGAGATCTAGAAGAGCAACAGGGAAAATCGAGGGGGAAAGGAATCCCATTGAGGAATTTCCTGGAACGGAAGAGGAAGAGTTGGAGGTTTTAATTTTTAGATATTTGGCATGATGCATGCAGGGGAAACAACACAGAAATGGAGAAACATTATCAAGGAACTCTACTGGGAATCAAGAGACAGCTTTAAAATGTCCAGAAGAAAAGAATAAATCACACACAAAGAACGGGACCTGAGAACCATTGTACTTCTCTCAAAAGCAGCATTAGGAACTAGAGGCAACAGTGTTTTCAGATTTTTAAAACAATATTATGTCCAAACCAAAATTTATCCAAACCCTGAGGATAGGAGAGTAGAATGCATGCATTTTCAGGTATGCAAATTAATAACAATTTAGCTGGTGGGTATTAGGACATCCCTGGAGACGAAGTCCAACAAAGGCAGGAGTGAATGAACCAGGAGGAAACTGAGGCAGACAAAAGGGCCATGCAACCTTAACTGGGTGGAAAATGGCAACTTGGAGCAAAGAAGGAGGGCCAACTGCCACAGAAATGGGGTCGAATGGATGGAGGAAATGTGGGTCCAGTACCAGGAGCTGTTTCATGGCATGTTGGAAAGCTCAGGGAAGAACAAAGGGTCGATTTACAAAACCCAAGGGAATGAGAGATCAGGCCATTGATGAAGAAAAGAGCAATCACCAGTCAGCCTGACTGGGATGACTCTTCAAAGTCAGGTCAGTATTAGCTGCACTGTACCCCCTTTGGGGCACAAGCCTGAGTCCAGTTGGCCCATCCCTTACTTTTCTACTGTGAATTTATACTTTAGCATTATAATAGCCAGCTGTACATCTCAGTACCTTTCTCTGAGGGATACAGGAAGCAATCTATGTGCTTATCCACTTGGTATAACTAACAGCAAGCTGTGTACATGTGTGCAAAAGTGTCAAAGTGGGATTTGGACCCACCTTTATGCTCCTGCTAACTAGTTTTGCATATGTTTATCTGAGCATCACAGAGGGTACACACATTACTCCAGGGTTTGTTAAAAAAGGTTTGCTTTTGATTTTTTTGGTAGAAGTAGCCCAATTCAGTATAATGGCACATGAAAAACCAGATTTACAAGTTTTGGAGGAGGTCAAAAGTGAATCAAATTACTCATACATGGATGATGAAGATGACCCATTATGGTAAAATATATGCCTTGATAACAGGAGAGTGGTGTGAGTATATGATAACAGTGATGATGATGATGATGATGATGATGATGATGATGACTTTGATGTTGGCCATGTGAGCCAAAGTTCCTGTGACAGTGAAATGGAGCAAGAATCAACTGGTACAGACATGGGGAATGCAGACCTCCTTGATTCAGATGATGAAGAAAACAGAGATGTAAGTACATATTTGACTAGTTGAAATGTTGCAAAATGGCCATGCAAATGGAATGATCTAATGTTAGAACTAGGTCTGAAAATATAGTAAAAGTCTTGGGAGGGGTGAAATACGTTGGACAGAATACCAACACTGCCATTCAATGTTGAAAACTGTAACAGATAAAATGCTACAAGATGCTGTGAAATATGCAAAGGCTGAAATACAAGCAAAACATTGTGTATGAACCAACAGCCATATTAAAAATGTATTTATTATGACATATCATTAGCAGAACTAAAAGCATTCATAGGTCTGGTGTACCTAGGAGGGATTTCTCATGGTAGTCATAGGAATGCAAAAGACTTATGGAAAAATGATGGATCAAAATATAGCATAAAAATTTATGCTCTTGTAGATGCAAAGACTTACTATTCTTTCAGTTTAGGCATTTATCCTGGAACTCGGTGCAGGAACTATACTCAGGAACAAAGCAGAAATTCCAAAAGAAATGTCCCAATTTCAAAACAGAGATTTGTATAGTACAGTCTTTGAATTTCAGAAAGATATGACATTGGCCTCCTATATGGCAAAGAAAAGCAAACTGGAATTGCTGATGTCAACATTTCACCATGATGGAGATAAGTGATAGGGAAACCTTGACAAAACAGAAGCCTGAGATGGAAACTTTCTACAGCAAACCTGAACGTGGAGTACATGTTGCTGACAAGTTACGCAGCAACTGCGGCGTCACTTGAAATACAAAGCACTGGCCAGTGGCTGTGTTTTACTCAATCCTAAACATGTGTGGCATAAATAGTTTGATAAAGAAGCTACTAGTTTCTTTAAAAATGATAGTTTGACAAAATAGTTCAACAAAGAAAACAACAAGTGCAAAATATCATGGAGAAATTTTCTTAAAGAATTTGGACTGGAGCTCATAGGAGATCAGAGGAAAAACAAAATGCTTCTGTCCAGGGAGCTACATAAAAAAACTGTGGAGCACACTGGTGAGCTGAAAGGTGAACAGGCAGGTGCAGCATCACAAAAACCTACTACAACAACAGGAAAATAAGACGTCAACTATGTCCTGGAAGAAAGGACAGGAAAACAAAACATATGTGTTACCAGTGTAAGTGATTCTTGTGTATGGAACATGCAGTTGTCATGTGAGAGGACTGCCTTGGGTGTGCCAGTTGAAGCAAAGCTTATTTCTGTGGTAGACCTCTGTTTGTGTTTACAGTTCACATAGGTTTTCAGTTTTGATGTTATCTTTTAGGTTTTGTAAGCAAGTAGACAGCTGATGTGAAAATGTTGATGTCTATTCTAAGCACTCACTACATATATGATATTTTATTTTATTGTCACCTTATTTCCCTCATAAGTGCGTGTTGTACAATATAGTAGGAAGCTCCTGACAAGCCAGGAAGAGAGGTGACAAGACTACCACATGGAAAAGGAAAGATAAGCACACATGCTGTCAGTGTGAGATGTGTGCATGGAACATGCAGTTGCCATGTGTGAAGAATCTCTTAATGTGACAGTTGAAGCCAAGCTTATTTTTGTAGTACAGTTCTACTGGTATTTTCATTGTAGGTCATGTAGGAATTTATTTCTGATGTTATCTTTTAGGTTCTGTAAGGAAGTACACAGCTGATATGAAAATGTTGATGTCTATTCTAAATATACAACATACATCAAGAATTTAATAATAATATATTTTAGTGATAGTTTGTGCTCCTGTTGACTATACACTATGTAATATAATAGAAACAGCAAGAGCACTGAGATGTCAAGGATGTCCTACAAAAAGGCCAGGGAAGCAAGACATGTGCTGCCAGTGTAAGCAGTGCATGTGTATGGAAGTGCTGTTGTCATGCATGCAGACCGCCATAGGTGTGAGAATCAATTTCCTTTCGTAGAGTGCTACTGGTATTTATATTGTAGTAATATGGGAATTTATTTCTGATGTTCTTTTTTAGACTTTATACACCAAAAACAAGTCAATGTTGAAAATTTTGGTGATTTTTTTAAAACAATAAATATTAAAAACTCAATACTTTATTTTTCCTGTTAAATACTCATTGTTTAATAAAACTCATAAAATTAATATTAATAATTTATGAATACAAAGACAAAACTTACAGATAATTAGAAACCTCAGAAACATGAGGATCATAAGCTTAGAAAAGTAGTAAATGGCCCAAGAAACTGCTGAACATGCCACACTCAGGGCCAGGTGGGGGCTTCCTGCAACAGCAAGCAGAAACACTGAAATGACACCCAGGATCTGCAGGCAGATTTATTCACATCAACGGGCACTGATTGGGATCCTTCCCAGACTATCAGCCCCTGATCTCTGGTGCTCTAAGGCTTATATGAGATAAGCAAGCAGGAAGAACTGAGGCAGAATGGCTGGTCAACTGGGGATTGGTTTATACAACGTGCATCACAGTGACCCTCCGCTTCTAAGAGACAGGAGCAACCAGAAGTGGAACAGGAACTGTTACCTGGGCACTAACGGACTGAAGTACACTGGCTGGGGGGCACTTACTGGTACATTCCAAGATCTGCTCCATTGGCCTGACTCTCATGGTTTGCCTTTGAAGCTAAAAACATCTATTTCTTTGATAGAAACAGATACTTAACATTCTTAATTAAAACTAGCAATTTAGAGACTTTGCTAGGAAGTTACTGGAGTATCTGGTGCACTGAAATACAATTAAGAAAAAAGGGTTTGCAACCCCAGCAAGCAGATCCTGATCCCAAAGGACACCTCTTGGCTAAACTCAGGGTCTCAGTATTTTGGGGTGCTGCAAGGAATGGGGTATCTCTAACAACACTGTAATCTTGTTTCTGAACGTTGTTACTAAACTCATGTGCTTTAACAATGGGCAAAACCACTGAACTACATTTTTTTTCCCTGACATCAGAAAATATATTTTCCCAGGAAGGTGTGCTCTTAAATTTAATCAAAACGTGTGCTCCTTCTAAGAAGAAAAGAGAAAGAAAAGGCCAGAGCCCTGAAATCTTACAAAATACCCCTTGCTTTGTTTGCAGAGATAATTTTCTTCAAAACTGCTCTATTTTTAAGAGGATTTAAAAGTGATAGTGAATTAATTGGGAGTTTGAATTGGAAAGGAATCAAATGTTTATCACAACATTTTCCCAGCCATAAACAGAACAGAATGTATTAGCACAATTATCAGGTTGTTAAAGAGCAAAAATACAAATTAGCATTTCAATCTCCCTAATAGTTCTGTAATTCCCTTTATTCTGGTGGTGACACCTCTGCTAGTTGCTGTATTATAGTTTATTTAGATAAGTGTCTGAAACTTACTAAGATGATTTACCTTTATTTTTCAGAAGTTATGGGAATATTCTTCTCAGCTAGGAAAAAAAGCATCATTACCTCTGCCTGCCGACTGTCACTCGGCTTTCCTAGTTTCATACTCCTGGATTTTCCTTCAACCAAATATGTTCAAAATTCTTTAAACCTTGTGTTTAAAGCAGCAAAACAACCATTGCGAGCAGAAGATAAATATTACTTGGCCATATAAGGACCAGAAATCACAACTCACAAGGGAATAGTGAGAAGGGAACTCGCAGCTCACAGCTCCTACGAGGCCCCATGCACAACAGGAGGAAACAGCCCTCAGGGTCTGCACGGCAGAGGGCTGCTGGGCATCGCCGCCTTCCAGATCTCCCCTCCTCGCGAGTCTGCGGGCTTTGCAAAGTGAAGTGCAGGGGTGTGAGAGGCCTCCTTGTCCAGCTCCGATGCCAAGCAAGAAGCTCTCTGACATTCCCCCTGACCGATGGGCATTTAACGCTGCAGTCAACCCTAGGCATGACAGAATCCACTTAGTGAGAGAGTGAACTACCTGCCGATCTGGCCTTTTCCATTCTTTGAAGCAACCTAAATTGTTAGGCGATTTTCCCTGCAGCGTGGCTAGTGGGCACCGAGCAGACTTTAGTGTTAAGGATGCACCAACCCCATGGCATTTGCTCATAGGGAAGGTCAGGCTGGCATCCAGCTGCCTGGCATACTGCGAGTGAAAGGGCTACCAGAAACTCTGATACCAGAGCAGTGCCAGGCAGCCTGGGCATGTGAGTGCTCTAAGGAAGGGAAATAGGGGCCAGCTCACAGGGAAAGATGGCCAGCAGGTTATGGGCAGATCCCTGGCCATCACCAACTGGGCATGACCTCAGGGCTTGGTATGTTTTTGTCAATATGCCAAGCAACAACCTAGCTAGCTGGGCAGGCTGGGCAAACACAAAACATGTTAGGAAGAGTTTGTGGAATGCATAATCAAAACCAAGCTTAGTCTTAGGATGACGAAATTAATTCCAGACAACTGACTATAGGGAAAAACCTCCAGAATAATCAAGATATGCTCTGATATAAGACAGGGCCAAGCCCGCCAATTCTGCTCTTCAGTGACCGCAATCTAGAAGGCCTCATTCTACTGCAGTTTTCTGGTGTGACATTAAAAAAAACTTCTTTCTACAGGAAACCTCTTCAAATATTTGAAAACGGCTTTACTGTAGCCTTTGATCTTTTTTCTACTGGCCAAACATATCGTTTCTTCAACCACCGGAAACTAAGTGCTCCAAACTAGCACATTAGTGCCCCAGATGAGGGCCCACCGAGCTACAGTAGGGTAAAATTATGTAATGCATGCTCCGTGGGGGGGATTTTCTACTACTACTTTAAGCAAATAATTCCGGAGGACTCCTGCACAGAATTAAGTCCTGCTCTCACGCCTGTTGTCCATGCTGTACGTCCACATTTTAATTCTTTGACCCTAACGGAGTGGCTTGACCTTCATCCTGTTAAACTTGGGGGTCAGGGGAAGTGGGAGGGGCCCGGTGGAAACCCTGGCTCTGTAGCCGGCTCCCTGTGGACTTCTGCTCACCACGGCGTCCTTGGATTCCCCACTGGGGCGGAAGCCATGGAGAGGGATGGTGGCCTGTGATGACCTGCATTGGAAAGGACTGAGGAAACTGTGAGAAACTGGGCGGTCGAATCTGGACCTAAGGGTTTTTTATTCCCTCATCTACTTTTATCAGCGCCTGTTCTCACAGACATGGAGCATGTGGTCCAGCCTATCTACGTCAGCTCCTATGGAGTGCATCATTAACCGCTGTGCGTTCCTCTCTTACACAACTAACTACCTGTTCCGGGTGTGTGTTGTCCAAAAGTGTGAGAGTCGTTCTTCAAACACTTTCTCTGCTAATATTTTAAACACACACCATGAGGCAGTACTGCCGCATTCGGTCGGAGACCCGCTTCCCAATGTTGTGAGTAACTGATGCTTGCTGGGTGCAGCTCTTCCCCCACGTCTGCACAGCAGTGCTGCCATCTCACTCAGAGTGCGCAAGCTTCTGCCCTGTCCTCACTCCTGAGGTGCGCAGCTCTGTTGCTCTATCAGGGCTGTTTCCCTCCAAGCTCTGGAATTCATTCCCTCCGTGGGACCCTAAGTGACCACTCCCAGTCCAGCCAGGATGGGGACATGCGCTTCCAGTCTGGGTTTCCACACGTCCCCTGAGTGCATGGAAGCACATGGCGAGCACTGCCAAAGCACGGCTGGGCTTGCTGCCGTTGACTGGGTCGAGACCTGGGAAGCGTTTCTGCACAGCAGCCGGGAGGCTGGAGAATGGGAAGGAGGGTGGTGGTGAAGGGCACCACAGTGAATGCCAGCCAGCACTGGCTGGTCTGCAGTGAAGTAGTATTATTTTCCTGTGTAGGAGCCAGCCTCAGACATGCCAGGAATATCTGAGGAAACCAAAGCTTGTTTGGAGATACTCGCAAAGATGCTGCATCAATGCTGCTTGTTTTGCATCAGACCCAAAAGCTCTGTGGAGGAGAAGCCATTGAACTTAGCTGCCACTGGACAGACATAGCCAATGGACCCAGTCCTGGAAGGAGAATGGAAAAAGGGACAAGAGAAATCTGAGATGAGGCACCAGATGGGACAAGAGCTGGCCGGAGAGGTGACACCAGCCAATAGCAAGGTTGCCGTGTTGCCGGAGGAAGGCCAAGACTGACAGCAAGAGCCATCTCCCCCTGTCACCTGTGGGAAGGCCCTCTGGGCTCTGCTGACTGTGGAGAGAACACATGAGAGATGGGGACACTGGAGTTCAGAGTCGCCAAAAGGCTGCTGTAAGACACCAAGAGTATCAGAAAGCCACTGGACAACGCAGCGGAGAGGTTGGAGGCGTCGCGTGCTGTGTCTGTGAGGACCGCTGAGGGACTCGCGGGGAGGGAATGCTCCTGAAGAAAATGCTGAATACTTCGTTAAAAAGAAAAAAAGAGAAAGTGGGCCATATCAAAAACACTGAGGGTACTGCAGAGAGAGTTGGGAAATAACCATGGCAGGTGAAGTTACCTGTCACAGGTCACACTCTGATGGGCGGATGAACTGACCCTGTCCTTCCATAGACCGAGCCACGTGAAGATGCTGAGCTTAAGATCTCTGATGGCCTTTCAAAAGGATCGCACTGACTTGTTGACAAACAGTTACAGTAGAGAGATCTTAGGACCATTTCATCCCTGAAAATGGGTACCGAATGTAGTCAAATATTCCCTTGCAGAACATTTATTTGCTAGATCACTTCTTTACTGAACATGTTTAATGCATCCAGGATAACTGCTAAATGACAAGCAGGCGCATCTTACATTGTAACGATCTCTGGAAAAGTCTCCGAAGTACTATTTGGTACATAGCTTCATCTTGACTCAGCATTTGGGCTGCTTCCAAATTCACCGGGTTTTCCGTCACTGGGTTAGAGAGCATAACCTAAAAGAAAACACAGACCACAGGTGAAAGTGTTCAAAGTAAACTTTATCTGATGGTAAAAAAACAAAGCAGTTCTCAGCGAACATTTATTAAATGTCTACAATGTGTAGACCTAGAGAAAGAGAAAAGTGACATAATCTCTCCTCTCAGGACACACTTGATCCAGCTTGGTTTTGTACTGTAGTCAAGGCCAAATACTTGGATCAAAACAAGTTAAAAATTTTTTCCTGTGTCTTTCCTTCCTATCATATCAATTCAATTAAAATTTAGGTTATATGTAAAAACAACTAAACATTAGGGAACAGTGAAATGTACCCAGTGAATAGGTTAAGAAATAAACATTTTAACTTGACAGAGCATTAGATCATGGATAAACAAAGACGTACTGAGGCCACTGGATAGTTAAAGTCTGCAGTGATTTTCTATTGCTGCAGTAACTAATCGTCACACACTTTGTAGCTTAAATCAATACAAATGTATCATCTCACAGGTTGGCAGGCAGAAGATCCCCCATGGTTGGACTAGTTTTTCTTTTCCAGCTTTAACAATGCTGAAATTGAGGTGTCAGATGGCTGAGTTCTCATCAGGAGATGCTGGGAAGACTGCATACGTGGGTGGTTGGCTGGATTCAGTTGCCTGTGGCTGCGGGACTGAGGTCCTGGTTTCTTCCCTGGCTTGCCGGGGGGGTCCTCCTGTCCCGAAGCCCAGCTCAAGTCCCTGCCCGATACTTGAAGGACCTCAGAGCCCTCCTACGTTGGAACCGCTCTGGCGTCCCCTTCCACCACACCCTTCTCCTTCCTGTGCCTCCTCTTCCACCAAGGGCTCCTGTTTACTGCAGGCCACCCACAAAGTACAGGGACCTCCCTATCTCAAGGTCAGCTGATTAAGGACCGTAATTCCATCTGCTGATCTTTCACAGTGGCACCTAGCTTTTGATTGAACACAGAGGATGGGAGTTTGGGGAACTCTTTATGTTCCCCCTAAAATGTGACATCTAAAAAGATAACAACAGGGAGACTATTACTAAACAAGAAGGAGGGAATGAGAGAGAGAATGGGGGACAGATATGAGCAAAATACATTACAAACACTGAGCCCCCCAAAACGTGAAATGGGGGAGGCTGAGGCAGGGAGGGATGGGGTGAAAATGATCAGTTTATGTCATGTGCACAGATGAATCCACCATGGTGAAAGCCATTCTTCTGTTTAACCAATCAGAAAGGATGGAAAACAAACCCACCTCGAGCAAGATCTGTGCTCCTAGACCAAGCAGGGACCTCTGATAAGCAAAAACAATTCTGCAGGACCATGATTTACATGGTACCACGGTTCATGAGCTAAATTTGTCCCATGAAGCTGGGGAGGACGGCTGTGGTTGTGTTTGTCACCTGATATGTTTATGAACAGAAGCAAAATTTTGCCAAACACTTCTGTTTGCAAACCAAATTGTTCACAAATGGAAGTGTTTGTGAACCAAAGTATTACCTGTACCTGGCACCCCAAAATTATTTTACCTTAAATACAAGTATTTATGCAACCATCCAATATTTTAAACATTATAAGTTATAACATGAAAACTACAAAACATCAGTAAAACTTACTATGTGTATTGCCACTATGATACCTAAGTGTAGATGCAGGTAAAGTGAAAAATTTTGGTGTAAAAGTTATGGAAGTTATGTCACTAAGGAAAGCAATCATGTGACGTCTGATACTTCAAAAGCAACCAGGACTTTCTGCTGTTACTTGAGTTTTCCTGTTTGGAAGACACACTTGGACCATATTTCTAAGAATATTATAATTGCTTAAGTTAAAGTTCAGCGCAGGTTGCACTAAACCTTTCCAAGGGGGTGAGGAACAGATGACACATGTTCAACAGCGCATGTTTGTTCTTTGGCTGGAGACACTGACCTGCTGGAGAGACTCAGCTGATGGGAAGGGTTATTTAATCATCTCACGAACCGCTGCGCCTAAGACAGTCAGACAATATACGCGCAAGCCAGTTCACAGATTTAATGATTTTAAGAACTGGTACACAAGTCTGTATTAAATTGCACAAATAAGACACCTTGTTAAAGTAATAAAAATAAAAAGGTTCAACTTTTAAGTCAGCCATGTAGCAGTATGAAATACCAAAAAGCTCTGCAGAGAACAAAGAGAAAAATTTGAAGCTTCAGTTGACAACTGTCCAGTAGATACATTTTATAATATCTAATTAATTATGGCCCATAGATTTGGGATTCCTTCTGTGGACTGGTGTTGATGTTTACATTTGCATTCTATGTGAAACACAGGTTTTCATCAAAGAAATTACTGAAACATTTTGGTGGAGATGACTAAAATATTTTAAACGCCTTTTCAAGTACCATCTCCTTGAGAAACAATGTGATAGTCAGAAGTGTGTTTCCCTGATTGTTCAACAGAAGTGGTGGGAAATTCGCTCTGTGTCTGTGTTGTCCATTCCACAAGACGCTAACCAAGGGTGGTGATGTCTACTGTTTCAACAAATCGGACAGCTGAGCCCCTCAGTAATCCTAGCATATGTCCCGGCCTCGGTGGCCACATGGAACTGACCAGTGGCTACTACATTGGACAGGGTGAGCACGGGCAATGGATGTGTCCGTCAGTACAGAACATTCTACTGGATAGATGTGAGCTCCAAAGAACTCCTACATAGCCACTGAGATATTGATGGTAGCCAAGTGGAAATTACTAGAGATAAACTGTTATATGTGTGTATATATATACATATATATATATGTATATATATATATATATAAAATCAATCTCCTCTAGAGCTGTACACCCAAACCCAACCAAGTCTTGGAAGCTAAATAATGCTCAGTCCAGTTCTCCATCAGATAGCCACCCACTTCACAGAGTTTGTACAGATAGATGATAGATGGATAGATAATGATTATGATAAGTAGATGATAGATAGAGATACATGCACTAAAACTGCAACAAAGTAAAAATTCATCCATTTACTTTATCTGGTACCTGCTAACATCACGTAGTCTAGGTATGTTCCAGGGATTCAGATTAATTAGATGTTTCCTGACCTCAGGTCAAGCAGGAGACGGTGGATAAAGGAATGGATGTGCACACAGGAGTTTGAGCTGCATTAAAGCGAGTGATGCACGGTGATGTATCGAGGGCAGGATTGCAAGGCACACACGAGAGTGTCTTGAGCCATCATGAGTGTGCAACAGAACTTGGACTTGATCCTGCAGCCCATGAGGGAACCAGTGACTGATTTTAAACAGAAATCCAGGGGAAGGAATCGGGGGAAATACTAATAACAGTAGGGTTAGGGTTTTCTTCAAGGATTGTCAGTGATTTTCTTTTACTTTACTGTAAAAATCACCTGTGAGTTGGGCATATTTGTCTCATTCACACATCTGAAAGATGTAGAAAAATACAAACAACTGTGTGTGTCATCTCCTGGCTTTCCATGATATATTTGGCAACACTGCATGGTTGCTATGCACACAGTAATAGTAAAAACAACCGTAGCCAATCAGAACTGTTGAGTTCCTTTCTTGCAGCAGGCACAGATCTGAGTACTTTGCGTGCACTAACTAACGTCATCCGCACCTGTCACGCAGACCACTGTTAATAACTGCCCCATCTCATTGCTAAAGGAGGGAGGCATTGAACAGAAATGTGTCCAACGGTACAAAGAAGTCCAGTGGAAAAAGCAGAAGTCAAACAATCTACCCTCAGAGCCCCTGCATTTTGCTTTTGTTAAATTTTTCTATAATTCAAAACTGTCACCAGGTCATTCGGGTTGGCTATAACTCATTTCATTTTGGAGCATTCAGTTTTACTATTTTTAGGACAGATTCTAGTTCATATGGAAGAGGTTGGAGTACTTCTCAGCTTGAAAGAATGCAAAAGATCCATCCCAGACACTCAAATGTCAAGCTCACTTCCTTAGAGTTTCTGCTCATATCTCTTTCCTAGAATACAGAGAGATGCTCAACATGACTTTGCAGGATGAATGAATAAAAGGTGAATTGGACACTGGACCTATTTTAAAGATTGCATTTTATTCCATATGCTAAGATGACTAGCCAGAAAATTAGCTATTATTTCACTTATTTTAAAAAATAAGGCGTAGGAAAAGTGGAATTTGTATTATAATTCTAAGTTGTAAAAATTCAGTTAAGTTAAAATACTTTATTCTGGCAGTATTCAAGATAATAAAAATTTAATAGTTTATCTCCAGACATTATCAGGAGAAGCAGGTCCCTGGATAGACTTTTAGTAAGCCTGACCCAAGTGGTCAAACAAATGCCACTGAGATAATTTTCACCTTTGTTTAGAAGGAGGGCTTTTAAAGAACCGGGAATAACACAACACAGAGGGATGCTTCTGTGGACCATGGGCCTTGGGTAAAGGTGATATCTGGAAAACAGGCATCTCCCCAGGGTGAAGAGATAAGCTCTGGTTGATATGAACACTGTACTGCGAGAACACTTATTAGAGCAGTAGCACTCGCGTGTGGTGGTGCACGCCTGTAACCTCAGCACTTAGGAGGCTGAGACAGGAGGATCACCACCAGTGCAGTGCCAGCCTGGGCTACCCAGTGAGGTCAAGGCCAGCCTGGAATACACAACAAGACTCTGTCTCCAAAAAAACCCAAGCCAAACCCAGGCCCAAATCCAGACCCAAACCCAAACCCAAACCAAACAAAACCCAGAGGAGTAACCAGCACTGACAGGAGCTCAGGGAAAAGCTGAACTTGCCGAGACGTGGTCACTTGGCTCACCTTCCGAGAAAGGGCAAGGCCGTGCGCCAGGACAGATGTAAAGGACCTGTGCAGTACTAGGACGCGAAGTCAGGAGCCGAGGGAAACTCGGACTATATTTCCACAACTGAAAGCACCCAAGCGATTATTGTCTTCTTTTATAAAATGCACATTTTTTTGTGTTTGGCTGTGATGGGCCTTCAGTATCAATTTCAATTTGAACGAGTAGTCTTTATAATTTAAGTTCTATTTTGTAGCCTTGATAAAGAAATGCTGACTGACAGAAGCTGGCTCAAATCCTTCAAACATTTCAGTGTGCACTGCGCACTCTAACCTGTGCTCGGGATAACGGGGATAATTACAAGTTTTTTTTTTTTTTTTT